GGTCCTACTTTGATCAGGGGTTTGGACTAGATGACCTCCTGACATCCCTTCCAACCCTGATATTCTATGATTCTACTGTTTGTGCTGTGCCCCACCTAGGGAGCCAGAGCTCCCTTATAGACTGCTAAGTACAACTGTCCCCAGCCAGAAGGTGCTAGGGTGGTGTTTGGCCACTGTTTGTGGCTCTGCCCCGCCCAGAGGGTCTGAGTTTCCCCAATAAACTGTGACTTGCAGTCGCCTGTAGTGAGCCAGAGTGGCTTCCCTCCTCATTTGAGAGTGAGAGACCACTACACACTGGTTCAGAGACCCATGGGCAGCAGGACACAAACCTTAGTGCCAGCAGCTAATAGACTTCTTCAGCCAGAGACCATTGACCCTGGAGTGATTATAAAAGAGCAAGAAACTGCAACATAAGAAAATTGACAAGAATGCTGGAGTCACCCCATTGCAAGCAGGAGAGAATGTTAATTCCAATCAGGAAGGGGTTGGAAACCTTGTCAACAGCTGCACCACTCACTCAGAGGTAGTGTCATAGCCTCTCCTGAGGGTCAGTCCTACAGGAGGAACAGAAGACATCTACACAAAACCAAGGAGTTTCCATTGGCACGCTGTATTTAGAGGACACTCAGACTGCCACTGCATGTTCTTGTGCTGAGAAAATTAAGTCAATGACAATGAAAACACCAGGAAGAGGAAACTCAGGCTCCAGGTGGCAGATCCATCTCTGCAGTTGAACAGCAGGAACAGCAGAACAGAAGGAACTGTTCTGAGAACAAAAGTGGCTGAGTGAGCGGAACGCCAATGAGGTTCAGACGCGTTAATATTACTCTGCGGCTGTTGTGTTTTGGTTGGTATACAGATTTATTTCCATTTGATTTTAAAAATAAAACAAAAAGGAAAGATGTAATGGTAACTACTTGAGTCTGTGGCTCCTGGTCTCTACCACTTGGCAGGGTTATTGGCCTACATGGACAGCGGTTACAAACAACTGATCAAAAACAGGAAAAGGTTCTTATGAAGCTTTGTCGAGAAATGTTCCACTATTTTTTCCATTGTAATTCAAAATCTAAATGAAAATTATCAAAAATTAGAAATATGTACAATTTTAACCAGCGCTGTACTCAGATCATGTGTCTGAGGCAGGAACTAAAGATCAATCTCTTTCCAGGACTTCTGTGCACCCTTATATGCATGATTGCTCAATCCAGGTTAAATGTAGGGATCAGTGATGACTGATTTGCACAGGGTGCCTTGGTCAGTATGAAAGCTATAAAATACCACAGAACCCGAATCCAGCAGCCTCAGCATAGAATCCTGGTCATTCTGGGCATTGTTCTGAACCTGGGCATACTGGGCATTGTTGCTTCTGGGGCAGAGATCTCTGCTTTCAGAATGTCACCCGTAAAATAGGCCTGTTGCATTTTCTGCCATTCCTGGCATGCCGGTGAAGCAGTACAAGGGAGGAAGAAGTAGGCACAACAGACAGCTTTTCAAGAGTCTCCAGGTCAATGCCAGGGGACACTAGCCATGGCTCTTCCCTGCAGTAATTGCTGCTCAAGTTAACCCAGGTGCTATTTTTCTTCAATAAACTAACCTGTTAGTTGGTTCAAAATTTGAATTGAGAATCGTAGGCACCACCTGACAAATGCACACTTTAATATCTTTTTAAATGCGTTTATTTACAGTGCTACTTGAAAACAATATATATATTTATATCTATCACCCTTGTGATGGTTTGTGCCATAGAAAATGCCATAACTGGATCGGCTTTAATTTACAAAAAACAGCAACAAGGTAATCTGGAAGGGGGATGCTAATCAAAATTTGGTCCCTAATTATTTCTCTCTCTTTTTTCTTTTTTTTCTTTTTTTTTTTAAAAAAAGCCCCAAAATGAGAAACTGCAACACAAATTAATTTATACATAAAAACAACCTTTATCTTCTGGAAAAAAAGTCATGGGGCCAGTTTACCTGTTGTGTACCTACATTTCAGCCTCTGTGTATGCTTTAATAAAAAAAAGTTATTTGCATGTAACATTCCTTTTCTTTCTCTCTCTCTCTCAGAGGGATCAGATAGAAGGCAGTTAAGCGGAGACTTAGGATAGGGAAATATCACCATGAGATCCCTGCCCTCAACCTTCTGTATCCCAAGGAGGATGTTGGAGGGAAGATCTCAGAAGCAGAGGCAGGTGAGAATCTTGATCAAATTAGTGGAGAGAGGTGGCAAGTGAAAAGGGATTAGAGGTGCTTGTTGTGGGATGAGTCTGGAAGTTGGGATATGTCACCTTGCTTGTTGGGAGAAGGACAGGTCATCATTTTGAGGACTATTGGCATTATTTGGGAGTGGGATACAGGAATAGTCATCAGTAGTGGAGACGGGCTGAGGGAGTGGGCAACCTCAGATTTCAGAGCATCGTAGGAAGGCTTTAGAACTTGGGGTGGAAGGGAAACTTAGTCCCATGCCCTCTTCTGTCGGAGAGCATTTCTAATCCTTCCTCATCTGAGATTGTGTGAAGCCAGAGGCTAAATGACAGTGCAAGCACAGGCTGGAATGGAGGGAGGAGAGACAGATGGAGCAGAAAAGGATGGGAAGAGAGAACTCAAGCCGAAGACCCATTTTCTGTCTTCTGTCTCTTTGGATCAACTTCATCCTATACAGGATTAGGGAGAGGGGAGAGTGTGTGATTAGCACAGTTAGACACCCCCCCCCCCGCCCCCAAATTGCTTCATAGGATTCAGCCCAATATGTTATCCTACACATTGAAGCACACTCTCTGCCGGTGATTCACATTGCTGCATGATTCCCCCCCCCGGAATCCCCTCTTCTCTACAGACTCTACAGGTGACTGGCACTCAGATACGCCAGTGATGGGCATAGTATAAGAACCTGGACAGATCAGTCCACATGGTATCGACACTATTATTTCCAGCACATAAACTCCACATGGATCCACACTGCCTTAGTCAGACCCCTGGAATCCACCCTCAAAACTGGATCCTTGTGACCTCATTAAAAATCTCAATTTCACATTGGATCCAGTTTCCTACATAAGCCACAGAAATAACTGATGTATGAGAGATCCAGGGTACCACACAATCTCAAGCATCCTACATGTAATAAGCAAGGTGGAGGATCTGGATCAATTGTACACAGCATCCACCGGGATTCCTTATACTTCACTACATGAGATGTATGTATCCTATAGTCACACAGGATCCATGGTGGTGATGTGACTGCTCAGTGATGGTGAAATCCATGGGGATTTCACCAACTCCCGGACAGGCAAGACAGCCCCATTTTGCCCCCTCTGCTGCCAGTGCCATCACCCACCTCCTCTTCTTCCTCTGCAGATCGTTTTGCTGCATGTCCGTCCTGCTCCTGCCCATTCTCATCTCCATCTAGACACAAGCAAAACAGCAAGTCACATGTTAATACAGGCAATCCTCAAGGAAACCTGCCCCCCTGGGGATGCCCAGAGGGGAGATTCAGTCTCCATGGCAATGCAATCCTGGCTCCCCAAACCCACCCACACATTAGCTGCTCCCACCTTCATCCTCTTCTCCTGCCTCTTCTTCATCCACGTCCTCAGGATTCTCCTCCTCCTCCTCCGCACCATTTTCCTCATCCTGAGTAAAACAAAGCCACAGAAGAAATCAGCTTTGGCCTACTCTTTCCATGCCACCCATCACTCCTGCTGCCCGAAACGATCCCCATCCCAGCCAGCCTGTGCTGCCAAAGCCACCTACCCTCCCAACCTTATCTCCCCACACAACCCACCCTCCATCCACTCCCTCAGCCTGCAGCCCCTTGCTACCTGCCTCCTCTTCTACCAGAAACCCTCCCAGATTCTCCTTGGGACTCTGCTCCCTATATCACATTCTAGGCTGTGCTCTTCGTGATGCCTGCCTCCCCTAGTGCCTGAAGCCCTCCCCAAACCTCCCTAGTGTGTGCCTCCCCCACATCATCTGCCACCACAATCCCACCCCTTCCTCACAGGACTGGGCCCATCCCCAGACATCCACCTCTTCAATCCCCCCACCTACCCCATGCTACCCATCTCCTCAGTATTCCCACCCAGCCCATGCCTATCACTTTACCCTATGCCACCCGCCTCCACGATCCATCACCTCTCACCATGGACCATGTGTCCCAATCCCACCTCCTCTGGTCTGCAATTTTCATTGCAAGCTACCTTCTCATTGCTCCTTGGCCCATACTCCCCATGCAGTCTGCCTCCCAGCTGGCCCAGTCCCCTCTGACTTGCGTTCCCCATCCCTCTCACCTTCACAATTCCCTCCCCTAACTCACATTCTGCCACCTGCCTCTCGGATGGGCTCCGCTGAGCTGCACTCCTTATCCATCTCACCTCCCAGATTCCCTTCCCCTGTCCCAACTTGCATTCCTCAGGCCAATTGCTTCTCTCACTGCCAAAACTCCTCCCAATCCCCTCCAAACATATGTCCTGAGGGGTGAATATATTTGGCCTCACCTCTATTATCTCCTTCTTTTTTTCTTTGCAGACAGTCTTCTCCTCCAGTTTTTCCTTCTTTTCTTTCAATTCCTAGATATGGGATGAGAAAAATAATTCTGAGATTTAGCATCAGAGAGAATGACAAAACTGGGGTTGTTTAAATTTGAAGTGAAGAGGGATAAAAGAGGACATGATAAAACGATGAGTGGGATAGAAAAGGTAATTACACAAAGGGACATTCAATTCAATGGAAAGGTAGTAAAGTTAAACATTATAAATGGAAACATTTTTCACATAACACACATCTGGCATGTAGAACTCATTGCCACGTGATATCATTGAGGCCAAGAGCTTAGCAAATTTCAAAATGTGATTACATATTTACGTGGAAAATGAAAAAATCCAGAGTTACAACAGACAGGAGAAACAATTTTTAAGTAAGGGATATAAGCCCTTGTGCTTGAGGCATAAACCAACCACTAACTCAGGTGGGTTAGAAAGAAACTGCTCCTGTGTGCAGTTTATTGAATAATTGTCCACTAGGCGGTTTCCTAAAACTTCCTCTGAGGCAGCTGGTGCAGGCCACCATCAGAGACAGGATATGGGATTAGATGAACCCTGGGTCAGATCCAGTATGACAATTCTTACAGCAGGATTATCTGGCTATTCGGACTCTCTCCTCAGACCCTACGCTACCAGCACTCCCAGCTATCTTCGAGACACCACCAACTTCCCGAGGAAACTACAATGCATTAGTGATCTTCCTGAAAACACCATCCTGGCCACCATGGATGTAAAGGCTCTTTACACCAATATGCCACATGAGGATGGACTACAAGCTGTCAGGAACAGTATCGCTGATGAGGCCATGGCGCACCTGGTGGCTGAGCTTTGTGACTTTGTCCTCACCCACAATCATTTCAGATTTTCGGACAATTTATACCTTCAAGTCAGTGGCACTGCTATGGGTACCTGCATGGCCCCACAGCATGCCAACATTTTTATGGCTGACTTAGAACAACGCTTCCTCATCTCTCATCCCCTAGCGCCCCTCCTCTACTTATGCTACATTGATGACATCTTCATCATATGGACCCACGGGAAGGAGGCCCTTGAAGAATTCCACCTGGATTTCAACAATTTCCACCCCACCAGCAACCTCAGCCTGGACCAGTCCACACAAGAAATCCACTTCCTGGACACTACAGTGCAAATAAGTGATGGTCCCATAAACACCACCCTATACTGGAAACCTACTGACCGCTATACTTACCTACATGCCTCCAGGACACCTCACATGAGCCATTGTCTACAGCCAAGCCCTAAAATACAACCTCATTTGCTCCAATCCCTCAGACAGAGACAAACACCCACAAGATCTCTATCAAGCATTCGTAAAACTACAATACCCACCTGGGGAAGTGAGGAAACAGACTGACAGAGTGAGACAGGTACCCAGAAGTCACCTACTACAGGACAGGCCCAACAAGGAAAATAACAGAACACCACTGGCCATCACGTACAGCCCCCAGCTAAAATCTCTCCAGCGCATCATCAACGATCTACAACCTATCCTAGAAAACGATCCCCCACTCTCACCAGGCTTGGGAGGCAGGCCAATCCTCACTTACAGACAACAGCCCCCCAACCTGAAGCAAATACTCACCAGCAACTACACACCACACCACAGAAACACTAACCCAGGAACCAATCCCCGTAACAAACCCTGTTGCCTTCTCTGTCCCCATATCTACTTTAGTGAAACCATCATAGGACCCAACCACACCAGCCACACCATCAGAGGTTCATTCACCTGCACATCTACTAATGTGAAATATGCCATCATGTGCCAGCAATGCCCCTCTGCCCTGTACATTGGCCAAACCGGATAGTCTCTACATAAAAGGATAAATGGACACAAATCAGACATCAGGAATGGTAACATACAAAAGCCAGTAAGAGAACACTTCAATCTCCCTGGACACTCAATAACAGATTTAAAAGAAGCAATTCTTCAACAACAAAAATTTCAGAAACAGACTTCATAGAGAAACTGCAGAGCTACAATTCATTTGCAAACTTAATTTGGGCTTGAATGGGGACTACGAGTGGCTGGCTCACTGCAAAAGCAATTTACCCTCTCTTGGTATTGACACCTCCTCATCAATTATTGGGAGTGGACCACATCCACCCTGACTAAATTGGCCTTCAACATTGGTTCTCCACTTATAAGATAACTCCCTTCTCTTCATGTGCCAGTATATATTTATGCCTGTATCTGTAATTTTCACTCCATGCATCTGAATAAGTGGGTTTTTACCCACAAAAGCTTATGCCCAAATAAATCTGTTAGTCTTTAAGGTGCCACCGGACTCCTTGTTGTTTTTGTGGATACAGACTAACATGGCTATCCCTCTGATACTTGACAATTCCTATGTCATCCCAGTGTATGTCATTGTCAGAATAACTACCCCCCTCCCTACTCCAACTTTAGGAATAAAACCTCACTCCAGTTACAAATTTGCAGAAGTCCCCTTCTCACAGAAGAGGTTGGGACTATATTAATCCTACTTAATATAGGATTGGAGGGGTGGGGGGTGGAGAGTGTCCCTCCTCCCCATGATCAGAGACAGGAAAAGCTCTCTCAGGCTATGTCTATACTATATCTTGAATAAACCACCCCCCTGAGCGACATAAATTACACCAACATAAGCACCAGTGTAGATTAGGGTGACCAGATGTCCAGATTTTATAGGGACAGTCACGATTTTGGGGGGCTTTTTCTTATATTAGCACCTATTACCCCCCACCTCTGTCCCGATTTTTCACACTTACTGTCTGGTCACCCTAATGTAGATAGCGCTATGTTGGCAGGAGAGCTTCAGCCATCCTCCCTGAACCAAGAGCTGGATCACTCCCTCCAAACCATATGCTGGGCTCCTCGTTCCCAGTGTCTTGAGCAATGGGATTCTAGGCCCTTCAGTTGGTAAAACAATTCCCCAGACTCACAGACCCCTCAGCACTGTGCAGTGGTTTCTAAGCTCTAGTCAGAAGGGGTTGAGATTTAAAGACCTGTCTTCCAGCAATGACTAATGGGAGACTGACAATCCTCTGCTAGTGTCTGAAGGGTGTGAACCCCGGAGGGGGATTGTTTAGGATAGGGGGAGAACTATTGGAAAAGAACTGAAACTGAGCCATGGAAAAGGAGTTCAGTGACCATCCTTCAACAGTTAGCGATCTAGGAACCTGGGGAGCCATCTCCTCAAAGGAGTGGCCTGGAACCCCATCACTCAGGACACTAGGAACTACAACCCTGAGTGGAACTACTCACATGCCTAAATACCTTGCTGAATTGGACCCTAGGCACCCTGGGAATAGAGTGAGGGGGGAAATCCTTCTCCACCTACCTGGTGCAAGAGGTGATGTGGGTTTTCCCAGCTCTGATTTCTACCTTTTAAATAAAATTTCCACGTTCTTATTCTATATAATGAAAAGAAGCCACAGGAGAGAAGACTGGGTCCCCTGTACTATTAACCTTTACCTCGATGCCCCAGGCTGTCCCTGGGAATTTGGGAGGCAGTCCTAAGAACGCAGTATTGTACTTGCTCAGCTACTAAAAAAACATTGGGCAAGCCCTAGTGCCATAAGGCACATGTTATTTAGGGTCTTTCCCATTTACCCCCACAAACCCCGTTTTAGCAGATGACTTTCTGTCTAGGTTTGCTATGAGCACGGGCAGCTGAATGTGCTCCCCAGTCCCTACAACACAGCAGTGGAAAGGCTGGTTCTGGGGCATTTTATTCTTTTACCATTTGGGACTTGTCTTTGTCCAAACTGGTAATGAGAGTTTATATTTGCCCAAGGACTAATAAAGTCATAGTGATGCCATCTGTTCCCTACACTCTCTTCCTCATTCTTCTCCCAGCCTCCTTCTTTCCCTCTCTTTCTCTCAGTCATTTTCTTACCTAACTCTTCTAACTTTTAGCTAGCCAAAAGAGCAAAAACATTTCTAAAGCAGCAGCTTCAGCCCCTGCAGCCTTTAAAAAGAGATCCACTATAGCACTGTATATGGTGGGGGGGGACATACACACCCACATTTTTGGATGAATTGCTTCCCCCCTCCCGACCTCTGTGCCCCACATAATGCAAAAATTCAAATCCTCAACACAACCAACGCTCACAACAGTCCAACCCACAGCAGCCCCAGTACAAAGAGCCCGTTTCCACAGCACTCACAGCATATCCAATGCTCACAGCACAGAAACACAACGCAGGCAAACATTATTCACAGCACACAATGCTCAGTACCACAGCACTCAAAGAGACGAAAAATAAATATTCAGAGATACCCAATCTATGCACTAGCATAACTCGCACCCACCCAGCAATCGCACGCACAGGCACTAATGTGCTCCCACTCCCGCCTTCTCCTGTTTTATTACTTTTATTACTTTACCTTTGTTAATCTAACAAAGCCCCTAAACACCACCCACCCTTGCTGGTTGGATACATCGGATCTTTCCCCCCTTCCGCAGCTACGAGCCGGGGACCCCGACCAGCCAAACTGGCACAGCCACAGATCGGCACCGTTGCCAAACGCGCGGATCCAGTGGCAGCAGAACTATCAAAAGGTTTTTAAAGAAAACAATCAGGGACCAGACCGCGCTTGGTGCAGGGTTAATGGCCAGGAACGTGAGCAGCGAAGTAAAGGGAGATCGGAGTGCAGGCAAGGCGAGGGAGAGACAAATCGAGCCAAGAAGGGGAAAGAGAGCGAGCGTTGTGATCGCACAAATACTTCTGCCTCTCACGTGCGCATTGCACTGAGCACTCAGGGGCCCATCGCTCCACGCAAATGTTAATTCAGCGCAGACAGGAGAAAAGCCAGGGGCGAGGAAAGAGCCCCTGAGAGAAGGCAAGAGAAAGGGGTAGGGTGGGGGCAGAGAGCAGACAACACTGCCCCTGCTGTCCCCGCGCCGCCGCTATTGTGCGAAGGTCTCCGAGCACTTTACAGCCATTCCCGAACTGACAGACGGAGGGGGAGGGGGGGGGGCGAGCAAGCTGGCAGAGGGTCAGGCTGGGGGCTCACCTTGGCACCCAGTTCTGCTGGCGCCTCCTCCGCGCGTTTCTCCGACATCCTGGTGCAGCAGCGGGAGCAGAGGAATCACCCACCAAGAAATGCCCGGGAGCCCCCTATGGAAACGAGCTAGCGGGGATTGGGCGGCGGGGCCGAGGAGTTCAAAGTCCCAGCAACCCAAAGACCAGTGGCTGCAGCTTGTGCCCCGGGGACCGAATTGCCAGGGTCTCCAGTCCCGCCGTGCTGGGGGAATATGCCAGAGAAGGGGATTTATACACCACTCGGTGACGACGGAAGGAGGGACCTGGGGAAGGGAGGGGAGAGGGACTGGGAGGGAGAAAAGAGGGAGGCACGATGCAGAGAAAGCCAGGTTAGTGGAAAGAACCTTGGAACAATGTGCACTCACATTTGCCAAACGATCATTAACAATTAGGGGAAGCAGCATGGTGAGCGGACGGGGTGCTAGGATCCCTGGTTCAGTTCCAGGCTTCAACACCCACCTGATGTGTGACCTCTGGCAAATCTCTGTGCCTCGGTTTCCTCACCCCTTGTCCTGACTATCAGATTGTGAGCTCAGGTCAGGGACACTGTCTCACTGTGTATTTGTAGAGTACCTAGTGCAAACAGGGCTCCGATCTTGGTTTGGGGCCTCTAGGTGCCACTGCAATACAAATAACTACTAAGACATTAATCTTCACCATCTTGCACAGAGGAGAAGCTGAGGCTGAGAGAGGGAAAGTCACACAAGTCAAATAGAGCCAGAAGTCCTGACTCCCTGTCTCTAGGGCTCTCTAACCCATTGGGCCCACACCCTCCCAAAGCTAGAAGAGAGCCCAGAAGTCCTGTCCCCCAACTCTATCCCATTAGACCTATGTCCCACACCTAGGACTAGGGATGGGAGAAAGCAATGGGGGTGTGTTGGTGATGTGGTGTTTCCTTACGTCGCCTTCTGAAAATCCTAGACATGAAAAATGCTATTAGTAACCATTTTGTCCAATGTGCCGCTCTCTGTTCCTGGTCCTACCGCCTCGCCCCACCTACCCCCTTCTTCGTAGGGCAGATGGGAACACTTCGTTCTATCGCCCGACCCAATCACTCTAGCTGCTGCGGCTTCAGCTATTGGTCGCACAATGATCCCGCTTGTCTGGGCTCCCTGCTGCGCTCATGCTGTACCTGACCCAGCTGCGGGCTAGAGGACGGCTGGGGAGGAAGATGGTGCTTGGCATATAGGAAGAGGCTGAATTCGGTCTCACTCTCGCTCAATGTTTCCCTCCTTTTGTCTCGTTCTACATGTCTCTTCAGCTGGTGCCTTTTCAGGCTGGCTCCTGGGCCCAGAAATCCCTCTTCGCCCCAGCCCGACATACACCAAAGAAGCCTAATGCGGTCCAGGAAAGAACTGAAACACATTCGTTAATCGATGTCCAAAATCACCAACCCTCCCCGACCCTTGCTTCGTATAACCCCGCATACAAGGCGCTCCACCCTGTAGGGCTTGGGTCGTGCTATCGAGGGAGCCCCTCCGCTTCTGCTCCTGGCCATTCCCAATAGGAGGCGCTGTAGGGAACAAGGCAGGGCCCCTGATTGTGGGGACAACTCCCAGCTCCTCCGGTCCCAGCAAGAGTCACTGGAGACCGTGGATCGGGGGGCGGGGGGTGTTTTCCAGCTGCTCCCGACGGGCCAGCAGGAGGCGCTGCCGGGATGTGGGGGGGAGGTGGGTACAACGTGCCTGGCAGGGCTGTGTGGGGCGGGGAGGGCACAAGGGGCGGTACGCTTAAGTCGCCCGCGGTTCATCCTGCCTGGAATTTTCCACTCCAGCAGCCCGCGCTCCCAGCACGCCCCGCCCCCGCCTGGCGCCATTCCTAGGCTTTCCAACCCCGCCGCCCGTGTCCCGTCAGGGAGGAGCCGGGCCAGGGACAGAGCCCTCCTGCGCGGGAACCAGGCAGGGCGATGGGTGTTTTTCCCGCGCTCAGGGGGTGGGGCGTGGGATCGCTGGGGGTGGGGAGAAGCGGCTTCCAAAACCCCATATAAGGATGGACCAATAGGCGAGCATCTGATTGGATAATTCAAATGAGCTCTTTGCCTGGTAACAGGCTTCTCATTGGCTGCTGGAAACAAGTCTACGCAATAGGGAAAAGGCATAAAGAAGAAGAGAATGGGAAAGAGACCATCGGGTCCGGACGGGGAGGGCAGTTACTGTGACAACCAGGGAGGGGGTTGAGTTTCCTGCCTCGGGGGGAGGAAGGGCGGAGGGGCTCCGGACGCCTGGGTTCTTTCCCTGGTTGTGGAGAGGGAGTGAGCGCCAACAGGCTACAACAGGGGGTCTGTAGAACAGGACTTCTAGGGTCTCTCCTACCTGCAGGGGGGAAATGGGCGCTAATGGGATAAAGCCAGGGTGGCTGGTTTCAGTCTGTGACCTTGGGTCCTTCCAGTCTCAGCGTCAGTGTTCCTCTCTGTAGATGATCCCAGCCCACGTTGTAGGCAGGTTGTGAGGTCAAAGGCAATGTTTGTAAGTCACCTGGGTCATGGGTATCTTTGGGTGAAAGATGCCATGGAAAGAGAGAATTTGTGTTATTTTTTACTGCCATACCAGTGTTAAAGTAGAAGGGAGGAAATGCAGCTCCCTCCTCTCCCTGGCTTGATAAACAGTGTCTCACTCCCAGCTCTCCCTTCTTGTATGGGGTGCAAAAAATACACCCTCCTATTTCAATTAGTTTTACCATTGCTTATATTGCACCCAGAGGCCCCATTGTCCAGGCACTATACAGACATAAAGCGAGATAGTTGCTGGCACAAGGAGTTCGCAATCTCCATAATGATGCCTTTTTCAGGGGGTGAGGCCAATTTCATGCTCCCAGTGAGGCCAGGAGGGAGTCCAGTATTTCTTTGCTACCATAGATTGAATCTGTGATTCTAGCAGCGAGATTCAGGTCAATCATAATATTTCTGGTTCATTCAATGGCTGAATCAAAATAACAGCTTGAGCTCAAAGCTAACAGCAGGCATGAAACAGAATACAATGTCAGCAAGAGTCTCTGGATAAGGTGTGCAGCATTGACACCTGCTGTCTCCCAGAGTGTTACACTTGCTGGCTCTTTTTAACCCCTAGACCAGATGTAGAAACGTCAGATTCCCCAGAACTATTTGCCTGTAGGATGTCAGTTCTGTTCTGGTCCCAGCTCAGGTGTAGTGGTGTCAGGGACTAAGATACAGAACCTTTCATCTTGAGGGCCCTGGTTTCAGTCTAATCTCAGGCAAGGATACTGCCTGTTTCAGGGAGATCAGTAGATCCCTGAAAATCTGCAGGTATCCGTGGGCCATGTTTGCAGATTGGATGCAGATACAAATTTTGTATCATGCAGGGCTCTAGATGGAGATCAGGTTAGAAGATACAGAGACTTTCGCTGCTAGGGCTCTGATTCTAACCCTCTTCAGTGGAAGTTGTTTCCAGATGATAGTTTTGTGGCCCCTGCGTGAGAGGTTTCTGAATCTTGTTCCTAATGAAAATACATATCCCTATTGCCACAATTGGCACTTCTCATCAAGCAAGATGAATGGTCTACAAACACTGCACTCTTTTTTCCCCGGACGGAGGATGCTTGTGCACATTGCCAAACATGCAGAAACATATACACACATACCCCAAACACATGCATACACACACATATACAAATTCATGTACACTCACAAACGTGCATACCATGCACGTGCACACACATTCTTAGATTCCAAGGCCAGAAGAAACCACTGTAATCATCTAGTCTGAGCACCTGTATAACACAAACCATAGAACTTCCCCAAAGTAATCCCTAGACCAGTTCTTTGTGGAGAAACATCCAAAAAAAATTTTTTTTTTAATGGTCAGAAACAGAGAATGTTCAAATGGTTAATTAACCTCACTGTTAAAAATTTATGCCTAATTTCCTGTTTCAGGAAGTGTTGCACCCAACATGGGGGAATTCTAAATTAGACCTCACCAACTAATCACAGCACTAAAAATTAATGGTAACTTGGGTATAAGTGATCATGACTTGATAATGTGCAAACAGATTGAAGTCCAGACCAGTGATAGAGATACTTGGTGCTTTAGAAAGGTAAATTTCACAAAGTTGAAAACAATTATGAGCCAGATCAGTTGGGAGAAAGTATTTAATCAGAAAAAATGTGAATCATAATTGGGAATTCTTGAAGAATATAACTTATATAATTTACTAAATGCCCCAAAAGCCACACTCCCATGATCAAGAAGGCTGTATTGGTTAAGAAACTCACCTGGTTTAAAGAAGTGAAGGCAGCTATAAAAAATAATATATAACAATTAGAAGAAAGGGGAAGGTAATGAATATAAATCAGATGCTAGGAACTGTAGAAAATTGACAAAGGAAGCAAAGGGACAAATGGAGAAATCTATGGCCAGTGAGTTCAGAATAAAATAGAGTGTTTTAAGTATCTTAAGAACAAGAAGAATCTCAACAAAGGTACTGATCCATTACTAGATGGAAATGGTAGAATTATCAATAGTAATGGACACAGGCGCCGCCTTCTAATTTTCCCCAGAAGTGCTCAACCCTTGCTCAGCCCCAGGCTCCACCCCAACTCCACCCTTTCTCCCAAACCTCCACCCCCGTCCCACCTCTTCCCACCTCTACCCTGCCTCTTTCTGACCCCTCCCCTGAGCACACCCCATCCCCTCCCTCCCAGCACCTCCTGCACACCGTGGTGGGCGGGAGTTGGGGGAAGGGGAGGGAGGGGTGCTCGACTACTCATGGATGCTAAGCACACACTAATTTTTTTCCATATGTGCTCCAGCCCTGGAGCACCCATGGAGTCAGCACCTAATGTAATGGAGAAAAGGCAGGTGTGTTCAACAAATATTTCTGTTCTGCATTTAGGGAAAAAACTGATGATGTAGTCATATGATATAACACTTTTGCTATTCCACTAGTATCTCAAGAGGATGTTAAAGAGCAGCTACTAAAATCTGGCATTTTAAAATCAGCAGTTCCAGAGCAAATTTCATTCAAGAGTTTTAAGAGAGCTGGCAGAGGAGCTCACTGAACCATTAATGTTGATTTTCAGTAAGTCTTGGAACACTGGGAAAGTTGCTGAAGAATGGAAGAAAGCTAATATGCCAATTTTTAAAAAGGGTAAAGAGAGTGACCTGGGTAATTATAACTAAGACTATGATTTAGTCATGGGTATTTTTAGTAAAAGTCATGGACAGGTCACGGGCAATGAACAAAAATTCACAGCCAGTGACCTGTCCATGACGTATATTAAAAATACCTGTGATTAAATTGGGGGTTGGAGGGGGACTCGGGGCACTGCTGGGGGAGCGGCGCTTGGGGCCAGTGGCACCAGCTGCCTGGGACAGTGGACCGTGGCTGCTCCAGCTGGCCGATTGGGGACCACTGCCTGGGGCCACTGGAGCAGGGGCTCCTCTGGCCAGCCAGCTGGGGATTGCTGCCTGGGGCCACTCCGGCCAGGGCCGGCTCCAGGCACCAGCCTGGCAAGAAGGTGCTTGGGGCGGCTGCTCCGGAGAGGGGCAGCACGTCCAGGTATTCGGCAGCAATTCGGAGGACGGTCCCTCACTCCCACTGGGAGCAAAGGACCTTCCACCGAATCGCCGCCGCAGATCGCAATCGCAGCTTTTTTTTTTTTTTTTTGGCTGCTTGGGGCGCCAAAACCCTGGAGCCGGCCCTGACCCCGGCTGGCCAGGGACTGCTGCCCGGGGCCACTCCGGTCAGTGACCACTGCCTAGGGCTGCCAGAGCAGGGGCTGCTCTGGCCGACCAGCTGGGGACTGCTGCCCAGGGCTGAGCCAGCTGCTTGGGCAGCCCTGGGGTCAGCCACACTGGCCACTGGAGAAGTCACGGAGATCATGAAAAGTCATGGAATCCGTGACTTCCGCAACCTCTGTGACGGACACAGAGCCCTAATTATAACCATGTTAGTCTGACATTGATGCCAGACAAGATAATGGAGCAGCTGATATGGGACTCAATTAATAAAGAATTAAAAGAGGGTTATATAATTAATGCCAATCAATATGGGATTATGGAAAATAGACCTTGTCAAACTAAGTTGATATATTTTTTGATGAGATTACAAGTTTGGTAGATAAAAGTAGCAGTGTTGATGTAATATACTTAAACTTTTGTAAGGCATTTGACTTGGTACCGCATGACATTTTAATTAAAAATTTAGAATGATATTAACTGGATTAAAAATTGGCTAGCTGATCAGTCTCAAAAAGTAATTGTAAATGGGGAATAATCATCAAGTGTATGTGTTTCTAGTGGGGTCCCACAAGAATCAGTTCTTGGCTCTCCACTATTTAATATTTTTATGAATAACCTAGAAGCAAAGATAAAATCATCACTAATAAAGTTTGCAAATGACACAGAAATTGAGAGAAGTGATAAATAATGAAGAGGACAGGTCACTCAAACAGTGATCTTGATCACTTTGTAAGCTGGGTGCAAGCAAACAACATGTGTTTTAACTTGGCTAAATGTAAATGTATATCTTTAGGAACAAATATAGGCCATACTTACACAACGCAGGACTCTATCCTGGGAAGCTGTGACTCTAAACAAGATTTGGGAGTTGTAGTGGTTTACAGGGCTGGCTTTAGGAAGTGCGGGG